CCCGGCTATTTTTTTGTTGCAGCCATCATTGTTGTTTGGCGGGCCCAGGCTGGATTCAAACATGCCACCTTAGGTGTACGTGGCTGGCGCCTTAGCCACTTGAGCCACAGGTGCCGAGCCTCAAACTCCTGGTCTTAAACAAATCTCCTTCCTCAACCTCTCAAGTACTGGGACTACAGGTGTATGCTGCACACCTGCTAATTTTTCTACAGTGTTGCTCAGGCTGGTCTGGAACTCCTGGCCTTAAGGGATCTCCACCTCTACCTTGTAAAGTACAAAGATTACAGGGGAATGCCACCACACCCAGCCTTGAAATTTTTTAGCTACAGAAAAATCTCATGACCACAGGTCCCACAAGAATGGAAATTCAGGTCAATGCAATTGGCTGTGAGTCTTGTCCTGTGCAGGCAGCTTCCTCTAGGGAAGTGATGAGACAGTGCTAGTCTTCAGGCTACCAGGATTTTCCTGGCTCAGTTAACTCAGGAAGGGCTGCTGGTCTGGAAATTCTTGCCCTGAGGGTGTTTAAGCCTGAGTGGATGCTGCCATCAGGTGGCACCAGAAGGTAACGAAGCTGAACAGACCTGTGCTGCTGCCAGCCCCAGCTGTTCCATGACCCTGGCAGGAAGGGGACCCGCATTCCATGTGGTTTACTTTTGGGGACCTTTCTTGCTGGGGTGTGCCTGCTGTTACTGTACTGGTCAGAGCACTTATAATTAGTGGTGTTCTAGGCGTTGGGTTGAGTGGTTACTGTGGCTTTCCTGGGTTAAGGTTTGAGCCCTCTTTACAGGGGGACACCAAGCCTTAGAGAAGTTAAGAGCCTTGCTCATAGTTCATGGGTATCTGAGGACTTTCCAACTCCCTGCTGTGAACCTGTGCCCAGTTGATTTGGAGGATCAGTCAACTGGCTATCTGAGAGGGGGCAGGGTAAATTGGGGGGGCCTGGGAGGATTATGGCAGGCGCACTTCCATGACATCTGTTCTTCCCTCAGGATGGCCATCATGCCTGTTATCATCAACCTCACCCTGACCACGCTGCTGGGCAACACCATCGCCTTTGCCACAGGGGTGCTATACGGACTCTCTGCTCTGGGCAAAAAGTACGTCTGCAGGTCCCAGCCCAGGGTGGGACTTCCCTTTCTGCCCCTGAAGTCTCTCTGTGAGGAAGGCCTGAGAGGCCCCGTTTTGCCCAGTGGTAGACCAGGCACAGAGGCGTTGGGACTCTCATCAGTGCCTCCAGGGTACTCAGCTCTAGGGGATAAAGGCAAGAGAACTCAAGACTTCTGGGTGGCCCAGTCTTGCTCTGTCACAGCCTATGACTGGAATAGCGAATATGGGCTCGTAAGAACCCCTTACTGCCTGGGGCCTGCACTGGGCATCATGGTCAGCTGCCGCCCTCTCTGCTGTATAGCCCCGACAGAGGCTGGTTTGTCTTCAGCCTACCTTTCCACTCAGCATATGCCACTCAGGCAATGGCGCAGGCCCCTGCCACCCCAGCAGTTGTTGCTGAGGAAATCGGAATTTCCTGGGACATGGGCCAGGAACTGGGGCCCCGGGCCCCTACACCCTATGATGTTGCCCTGTTCTCTCCCCAGGGGTGACGCGATCTCCTATGCCAGGATCAAGCAGCAGAAGCAGCAGGCGGATGAGGAGGAGAAGCAGCAGGCGGATGAGGAGGAGCTGTGATGTGGGTCAGGAAGGCCTCCCCCTGCCCGCAGCCCTGTTCTGTCTGAGCCATCCAGGTGAAGCCTGGACTGTCGGCCCCTCTGCCCTGTCCCCGCATCTGCAATTCTCTGTCTGCCCCTTCTCTCCTCTGCTGCTGCTGGGCCCAGGCTGCAGGACTGGAGCAGAACTGAGCAGACCGTGGCAGCTCTGTGTGGGCACCCACATGGCCCCACTCCTTTGCTGAGTGGCTCTGCAGACTAGATACCATTGGAAGGCCACTAGTGGCCTGGAGCAGACCCCATCCAACTGGGCCCCGGGCTCTGGGTTCTTTGGGCTGGGCACTAAGCAGAGGGAGCCACCCCCAACTGTTCCAGCAGGTAGTGGCTCTAGGGCCCAGGATGGCAGGGCAGTGCCCTGATGCTGTCCACTACTGCCTGTACCCTCTTACTGCCCCTTGAGGCACAGCCCCTGCTGCTACTCCATCCTCTGTGGGAGCCCATAGTGCTCCCAGGATGTACCTCTGTACCCTGAACAGCAGCCTCAGCAGTGAGAGCTGGGTGGGAGTGTTCTCTGCTGGGTTCCCTGGAACCTTGGACTCATGGCATCCCCAGGTACCCCACTGCCCTACCTCCCTGGGCCTGGCTTGGGCGCCTAGGTTCTGCCTCTTCTAGGCCTTGGTGCTAAGGAAGTGGGGAGACCAGGTCCTCCGTGGTGACTACGAGGGGGCCCATCACTCAGGCATGGTCCAAGCCTCCACCTCAGGTACTCTTGCCACCTGCCCCAAACCCTTCCTACAGGGAACTTCTGCCTTCTCAGAGGCAGGCAGAGGCCAGAGTCACCCCCACCCTACAGAGCTGTCCCCTGCTGCCCTGTGTGCCAGGCCACCAGAAGTAAGGCCCATGTGGGGAGAGGTGATGCCTGGGAAATGGATCCCCATCTTCCCTCTGCCCTGTGGCCCCAGCCTGCAGTATCTCCAATGGCTGGGCTGGCCCTGGGTATCTGGCTGAGCCCTGCAGGGCTGAGTGGAGAGCCCCCAGCCTTCCCACCTCCCTGGTCCCTCAGCTCCTGCAGCTCAGGGGCTGGGTCTTACTGAGGAGGCACCAGCCCTACACTGTGCTAGGGCCGTCTTCCAGGACCTGATGTGTTTGAGGTCAGGGTTGGGAGAGGGGCTCTTGGGCCCTGTTCATTACTGCCCTGCGCACTCATCACTGGGCCCGAGGGTCACCAGCAGCCCTGTGAGGAGTCTGACCAGGCAAACCCCAGGGTGGCAGGGGCATTTAAGTATGGCCAGCTTCGTGGGACGTGTGCCTTCAGGGTTCCTTGGCCAGTTGGGACTCAAAGGGCTGTCTGTGTGTGCGTGTATGCATGTGTGTGTATGTGTGCACGCAGTGTGTGTTTATGTATGTGCACATGGTGTGTGTGCACATGGTGTGTGTGTGCGCATGCGTGTGTATATGCCTGCCTGCCTTCTTTTGTGTGCAGTGATAAGACCCGTCTACCTCCCAGGTGGGGTGAGGCCCTGCCTGCCCCTATGCTCACTCTCACCTGTAGTGGGACTCTGAGTCCCTCTGGCCTCTGTGGAGGGAGCATCACTGGTGGCAGCAGCAGGAGGGGTTGGCTGTGTCAGGAAGGCCACACCTGTGCCTAGTAGGAAACTGGGTGGGTGCTGGGCAGGCCATGTGTAGGATTGGGTGCAGAGGTGGGTGGGCCCTTTGTCACAGGCTGGAGGGGCTAGGTCACTTGCCCTTTGTTCCCAGTGAGTCTGGAGCTGTGGAGTCCTGGAGCTGGTGCCCCGTCTCACTGGGGAGCGCTGTCTGGAGACTCTGCCTTGCCAGGTGTGTCTCCATATGGCCATCTGGACTGTGCTGTGATGCCCCAGTCTGCCTCTGTGGGCTCCTTGCTGTCTGGTGTGCACTTAAGCAATAAAGGCTGGAGTTGGCAAGCTTACTCCCTGACTGCCTGTCTGTCCTTTTGCCTTGGAGCTGGCTCTGTGTTTGTAGTAGTGGGGATGTCCCCAACTGAGCAGGGCCACTGGCCCAGGAAATAAATACGGGTGCTGTCCTGAGCCTGCTCACAGCATCTCTAACAAGGAAAGTAACATGCTAAAGGTTACTCAACTGGGTAAAGCTGGAGCATTAGAAGGGCTGATCCCTGGCTGGGACGCTGCCCCCCCCCCCCAGGTCTTTCCCTTTGGTGCACTGTGGCTAACTTAGGGGTGGCATCATGGTAGGCCTGCCCATGGCAGTGGGCTATGGTGAACAAGATTGAGAGCTGTGGTCTAGCCTGGCTGCTAGTGTGAGGGAGTAGACCCCACTTCTTCCTCTCTAGGGCCACAGGCCCAGTTTCTTTATTTTTATAAATAAGGTGAACACAGTTTGCAGCCAGGAGACCCTGTTCCTATAGGTTGGGCTGGGGCAGGAGGATGAGGCCAGACTGGGTCCTGTGCTGGCTCTTAAGTCTGGGGTATTCCTGTGGTGTCCACAGATTCCTGTGGGTGTAGGGCCCCCTCTTCCGCCCATGGGCAAGATGCTTGATGGTGGCTGTTACATTGCTGCCTCCAGCCCTGTTGTCTCTGTCCTCACTGCAGCCTTCTGTAGAGAGTATCCTTGTCACATGAGTAAGGAATAGGCCTGAGGTTGCTTAGCAGGGCCTGGTCCTGGGCTGAGCTCTCCTTGGCCCGTGGCTGCTCCCTCTCCTGAGCGGGGGCTGGACAGTGGTGCTGCCTGTCTGGTGCCAAGAAGCATGTCCTAATGGGGCCTGTCCCACTCTGGCTGGTCCTCCTGTGTTCTGGCTGGCAGCTGCTGCCTCCTCCTGTCCCAGGGTGCAGGTTTCAGCCAACACCAAGGCCTGGCTGCTCAGAGGGTTGGCCCCTAGGTGAGGAAAGGTCCTAGTGCAGGGAGGACCTCCTCCTGCCATGGAAGAACGATTCTATCTGCTCCAACGACCGGCCCTGGGTCTCAGGCACACAGCAGCCCGTGAACACCAGGTTCACCACACAGATGGCCGCAAAGAAGAAGAAAGGCACCTGAAGTCCAAAAGCGCCCTGGGGTGCAGAGCAGGTGCTGAGTCACACAGGAGAAAGCCCCAGTCCCCCTACCCCAGGACAAGCACATGACCCCTGTTGGTATTGGCCAGATGTGTGGGGGCTTCATCTGGTCCTTACCTTGCCAGGAGACCTCCCAGGGCTCCCCACTGCCTCCAGGAAAAACTCAAATGTTTCAGCGGGGAGTTGGGGGCCTTGACTTTGGTCTGGGGCTGCTTAGGACTCCCTGATTGCACAGAGGCATCCTGCCTGCCTTGGGGCCCTCTGGCCACAGCCTCAGCTCAGATACCTCCTCAGGAGCTCAGCCTTTGAGGAGTCTCAGCAACTCCATGCTCTAGCCACCAGGAGGCTGCCACCAAGGGCCGGCTGGGCCTGCTGTCTGGCCTAAGTGGGAAACTGCAACTGGGACTCTCAGCTTCTGGCTGGTTTCAGGGCCTGGTGGTTTGAACTGGGAGGTGTGTGGGTGTGGGAGCATGCCCCTGCCACCCAGCTCCCAGAACATGAGGAAGATGACTTCCTGACAGGGCTGTGTCCTATCCAGAATTCTCAAAACAGTTCCCCAAGCTCCTTCCTGCTTCCTGTAAAGGAGCCATTGCCAGGTTGTCACTTGACTCTTCTGTCCTCCATGTTGACGGGTGTATGCTCAGCAAGCTCCGTGTCTGATGGCCTAACAAGCCCTCAGCACAGCCCCCATCCCAAGCAGGGGCCCCTGACTAGCTGGAGAGGGCCTTAGGGTCCCCAGGTCCCCCAGGTCCCCAGGAGGAGCACTTACCACCACCAGCAGGAAGGACTTTGTGAGGACAAAGGCAGTGAGCCAGCTGACCAGCACACACAGCCCGGAGGCCATGCCTCGGGCACGAAGGGGCAGGATCTCGGACATGAGCAGCCAGGTGATAGGTCCCCAACCCATGGCGTATCCTGTTCGGGAGAGGGAAGGGGCAGCTCAGTCCCACCAAGGGCCTGGGAGGGCTGTGTGTCTCCACTGAGCTGCTGAGGCCCCCTCCTCAGCCACCTCTGTGCTTGTCACCCATACTCATGCACAAGGCAGCCCCCCGGGGGGGCACTTCACCTACCCATTATGAACAGCATGGTGGCTAGGAGGGGCACCAGGGTGAGGCAGCTAACTGGTGTGGCCAAGGGCTGCTCTGGGTCCCCTAGCGACGTGTTCTCGAGGCCCATGGTGCTGTTGGGGGTCAGAGGCCTTGGACCAAAGTGGACGTACAGCCCCAATGTCAGGTTGGCAGCGAACATGATGGCTGCTGTGGATAGACAGGTGGCCCTCATGGGGCCAGGATTCTCTGAGCTGGCCACTTCCCTGGGAGCTCCTTTTGCAGAGCCCTTGGCACCTGTCACCTTTCTGTAGCTGCTGGCTTATGCCAGGCCTGTGCTGAGGAGGCGGATCCTGGAGCTCCCAGCCACTAGGGTGATGGGGCAGGGTGCTCACCTGAGATGAAGAGCAGGACCTTGCGACCAGCAAGGTCCATGGTGAGGGCAGCAATCAGCACAGACAGGAGCCTCACTGCTCCCACAATGGCTGCGTCATCCTGGGGGGGCTGTAGGGAGGGAGGCCACCGGGGCTGACACATCCTGCCAGCTGTTCCTGTGCCCCCACCAGGCCCCATCCTGTCCCCAATGTGCTGCAGGGTGCTCAGGCCCCCAGCCCCGGTCATGGCTCTCTTAGGTCCCTGAGGTACTGGGCACCTACCATATGCCAGGCACCTTTGTGCACCGGATCCAGCCATTAGGGCCTCCTGGGCAGGGGCATGCCTGTGTGTGCTGTGCCCACCACTGTGCCCAGCAAGCACAGAATTTAGGCGTGACAATGACTTGTTAGTTGTGCTGTTACTAATCTTCACATCTGCTCTTGGTTGGAGCTCAGCACAGCCCAGGGAGCCAGGCTGCTATCTCTGCTTGCAGAGAAGAAAACTGGAGTTCAAAGGGGGAAGTGACTTCTTGTCAAGGGCAGAAGCCACAGGGACTCTGAACCTGGGGCCCATGGTCACAAGGGTCCACATTCCTCTGTAGTCCTATGTATTTTTTTTTTTTTTTTTTTTGAGACAGAGTCTCACTGTGTCATCCTTG